TTGCAATCTCCGGGTCGGCGAGAGCTCTCGAAATGGAGCTCTTCAAGTGCACCTTGACTGTGAAGCTAGTCACCGACTCAGCGTGACATAGGCATCGCATTGAGACCCGAGTCAGCTCCGATTCCGTGACTTAGTTTGAAGGTCCGCTGAGCGGCTTGAATTGCAGATCTCGGCAGCTCCCCGAAGTCATCGCAGCGGCTCTTCACAGTCCGGTGAGAGAAGAGCGGTCCTTCTAACTTGCTTTCGCCTGGCAGGATAGGACAATAGGAGGTGTTGGCAGGATCGAGCTTTTGTCGCTTTAGCCTTTCGCATCTTTCCCATCCAGCCTTCCCTCAGTGGTCATGCGCTTCCGTGAATGCTGCTGCCAGATGTCTTATTGCACGCAGCTGGTGGGACGCCTTGGGCTTGGAAATGCAAGAATCACTTGTGTGCACAGTGTCTGTGTCTGCACTTTGCCAAGGGAGAAAGCCTCGGCACGCAGAGCGAGGGAGAGAAGTGAAGAAGTGACTCCACGCACTCGGGCTTTTCACAGACTCAAATCCGTTTCAATCGGCAGTTGCCAGACGGGTCCGGGGCTAGGGCCGTTTGAAGGATGACTGCCCGAATCGGGCAGCCGTTGCGCAAAGGAATCCATCACTGTGTGTCGCCTTGGCGCTGTCCAAACACGCCAGAAAATACAGTCCGGCATTGTGCAAAGGGTGGCTGTGGTCAGCTGTGATTGGTGCAACAAACCATCTCCACTCCTTGACCGCGGGCCGGCACTTGCCGGGGCTCTGCGTCCACTACAGCATTTCCAGTAAGCTGCATCAAGCAACCGTGCAGGCGCACGCCTCGGGGCCACCAAGGGTACACTGTTCGGCCGTAGTGTTCGTTCCGGGAAGCCTTCGTTAGTGCCTCCTGCCAGGGTTGCCGATAATCTTTGTTGCAAAATACTGGAGGCACCTGGCATGGAGCTTATCACGGGATGCGTCAGTTGCTTATCCAAGCACAACTTCGCTTGTTTTGCCGATCTCATACATCAAAGGCAGCAGATGACGCACCGGATTGGCCAAGCCATGAAGTCGTCAGTACAATCAAGTTGAAGTACCTGCGCGCGGCGGCACCGACTATCGCAGTTCCAATGCAAAGCCTGATGTCCTAGATGTGTTTGTTCCCGTGGAAGCTCGACGCTCGTGCACGATGCCGCTCACAAGATGCAGTCTTCCGGCCTCGAAAGTTTTCGCTGAGTTCCAAGAGCGGTCGAGCGGAGAAAAGAGGTTGCGACGCGCCATACCTCAGTGTACCGCCAGACCTCCACGTGGGGGGGTGCCGCCACCAACAGCCGCCAAACACAGAGCACTGTAAGAGTCACTTGGGAAGTGCCAGAGTGCCCAACTAGGGCTGAATTCACATGTGTGGCAAGGATGCTTGTTCGCAGTCGAGGGCCAAGCTTTGAAGACAGCTTTCTGATCAAAGACAAAGACGTCATCTTGGAAAAAGCTTCAATTGCATGGTGAACTATCTGGCATCTAGCGCTTCCGTAAAGCTGCAGTATGAGGATCGCAGCAAAGGTGCAGTGCCACCTTTTGCGTAACCTAGCAGATCAGGGTTTTCAGTGGAAAGCTGAATTACAAGCTAGCGTCTTGAATTTGTACCCCAGTTCTGTTCTCGACGAGGCAGTTTCACACAGGGCGCATGTTTGCATCAATGAGGGTTCCTGCTGAGCCGACTCCGCGTCAACAGACGGGCATCATGTAAGACCCTGTCCTCGGCGGCAGCGGCACCAATCATGTGAGCAGCCCGCGTTACGACCGGAGGACTAGTACTATCTCACAGGGCAGAGTGCAGATGCACAAGTTGGGCAAGGCTTCCACTGTGAATACACGGAAAAGCACGTCTCCGCCAGTCGCGCGTGCACTGTCACACAGATGTACGCCCCTGCCGCTCTCACGAAACATTGCGTTCATGTCTGGCACCTGCCGCCGTGGCGGCTCGAACTGGCGGTCAACCGTGGGATTCGGATGCTCCCGAAAAGAACCTTTGGAAGCTTGCAAGTTCAGCTTGTAGCATGCATTCTGGCACCGTCCTTACGGTCCTTGTGTTGTGATCTGGTCAGCCTCGGGGCTTTGCCGGCCTCAGGACTTCGGCTCGGAAGCCTTCCTTGCCGAGTTTCTCCGACACTGACAGGAGAAGAAACCTGAAAGGTGGGCTCCATTTGTCGATCTTTGACGCTCCATGTCAAGCACGGCTGCATGAGCTGCTGGGGCTCTGCACGCTGTGCGTGGCGTAGGCCTTTTCCAAGATCTACGTCTCAAGGCCGCCTCGCTTCGAGTAATTTCTGGTTGTGTGCTGGTGCGAGTCAGATACCACTTTGCTTCGTCATGAGGTTGATGCGATAGGTCTGTCCACGCCCTTGCGCTGCGCTAGCCTCAAAAGCCTGGGTACAAAGTGAGGCCCCGGCCAACTGGGCCTGGGCCGATGCCGACTTGGAAGGCTTTGTCGGACTCCTCCGTGTGCTCGGCCTCCGCTTGGGTCTGTCAAGCACACCTCCACCGCCTCCACCGCCCCCCTTCGTCCTCCGCTCCTCCGCTTCTGGGGCGTGTCAAGCGATTTCGTCCTCTTTCTCTTCGCGGCATCGCGTCCGGTGCTGCGCTGCTCGTGGCCTTGGCTTATGCGGCTCCCAGCGTCTTGCACTCCTTGTGCGGGAGTCTCCGCACGTGGGGTGTGACCTGTCCATTCGCTTTGCTCTGCAGAGCTGTACTTGCAGTACCCACAAGCCCATCCCTCGTGTTGCAACGCGTTCTTTCCCTTGCCCTCGGCATACCAAAGCTCTCTTCCAGGAGATGCGCCGGATCTTGTGAAAAACCTTGTGAAGCACCTAACATGAAGCGTGGGCGTAGTCAAGGCCAATCTGCTGCCGCACTGCTGTGTACTCAAGCATACAGCAGCAACGACGCAGGAAGCCGTACTGTCTTGTTGCGACATTTAAGCAATGTCTTCCGTGCCAGCCCGTTTTAGAGTAGCTATACCGCGGTGTCGATGTTCTCGCTTGCACTGGTTTCAGGAGGCACCACATTAATCTCAGTACCCATCTGGTCCTCCAAGCTGTGGACAGGCGGCAGAGCGTTTCGGAACAGATCCAGCGGTTCGGGACCGTTCTCGACTGTTTCAGGCTTTTTCTGAAGCTGCTTCCCGAGAGTGTTCTGATGGTTCCCGGGAGTTGCATGATGATTCCAAAGCCCTTCTAAGCATCCATAGGCAAACACAACACCAAGCATTCCAAGGCCTGTTTTCATTGAACGTCAAGCTTGGCTAGTCCGGATGCAAGTGCAATCGCAAGCAACAAGAAAAGCTAGTGAGAGCTCTTCCGTGCATCGGTGCACGGCGGGTCAGCGCAAGTCCACGAAGTAAGTCTGGAAAAGTCGCACTCAAAAGCGCAGCCTGGTCAATCCGCTTTCTGTCACATCGGATCGGTGACGGGACTTTTTGACGCGGCGGTTGTTTCAACTAATTTCAGAGTCTGCTGCATGCAAGCCGCTAGCCGGCGCTCTTCGATTCCTGTGGTCTTTTGGAACGGTGGCCGTGTTGGCCGCCTGTCAGGCTGTGTTACTCGGTTCACCCATGCCAAAGCGGAGCCAGAAGGCCTGACTGCTCCTTGACTGCTGCTTGACCGTCGCTTGACACACCTTGTCCTTGTTTTTCCCTTCTTGGCTCCTGCTCCACACAATCCAAGTTCCTGTTGTCCAGTCATCGCGAAGTTCGAGTGTCAGGCACACAGCCTTAGATCTTCCTCGCATGCCGAGTCAAGGACGAAGCCGTAAGGCCTCTGGTTGACAAGTCCGCTCTACATAAAGCTGTGTCTAGTACGGACGATTCTGATAAAAAGCTTTGTTAGGCAAACATCCAACCGATAAGGCAGCTGCTCAAAACAGGTGTCCGCTTGCATGCGCGCCAACATAATGGGATTCTGCAGATTCCTTGCGCGTAGACCCTCCAAACGGTGTTCCTGTTCCTCTATAAGAAGAACCACCAGAGCCTGATGTCTTGACGTGCCAGGATCTGCTCGTCCTGTGAAGTGTTTGTTCCACAGGACCTCAAAGGTATGTGGTGTTTTTTTCTCTGCGCCAAGTCTGCTCGGTCTGTTTTCAAAGGCCCGCATAGTCGGTAGCTTCTCGTGCACCTTATTCCTCGTCACTGATTCATGTTTGTAGGCCGGCAGCAGACCAGGGATATACATGCTGGGAAGTGCAGTTGCTGTGCTTGCTTCTGCATTGGCCGCACTCCAGTTCACATACAACTCCAGGCTAAAGTGATTTCTACTAAGGCACTCGGGGTGCGGAGAACCGAGGGCCTGTCGAAAGCGACCGCGCTTGGGCCAGGGGTGATGTGAGAGCGGTCGACTCTTCCTGACAGGCGGTCCCTTTCCGTAAACGCATCGGAATGGGTGGAGCGGGCCCAGGCGGCCCTCTGGGTGCGTCCGCTGGCATGAAGCTGAGAAGGGACATCTCTCGGCACCCCGAAGCCTTCGCCTCCCACAAGCCTTCGGCTTCACGGCCTGGCCTGAACGGCCCAAGGGTGGTCCGCAGTGCGGTAGTCTGGTGAGCCTTGTGTTTGGCTTGCACGTCTTGGCCAAGGCATTTCGAGAAGGTATCGGACTTGTGCATACAAGCCCCAAAATGGCAGCGGCTTGGAGAAGAAACTGGCGCTCAGCGAAAGACCTGGCAAACGTACAGCATTCTTTGAGCGCAGCCTTGCAGATGTGCTGGTGCTTCGTGCCACAAAGCAGTTGGGTACAGGGTGATGGGTAACGGGGCTTGCCCTGAAATCTAGGAGTTGCCAAACCGCAACCGTGGGCAGCAAGATGTGCCACAGAGTAACAGTCCCAACCCAACTGAGCAGAAAGATTGGACGGTTTACCCCAGTGAACCTGCACAAGGGTTAGTGTAGCCGATGGCTCCATCTGCCTTCTGAGTGTGCAGAAGCTTGTTCGTCGGAAGCGCCGTCAGATGCGGCGATGAGACATGAATGCCATAGTCACCACTCAGCGGGCAAAGGGCCGCTACGGTTGTCATCATGGCCCTGCAAGGGTCAGCTGTGGCCTGCCACGAGGCAGTCTGCTTTGCGTTTTGTGTGTGGTGCGAGCTATATCACATGTACCAATGTACCAAGAAGCGGGTGGTAGAAAAGGCCAGGTCCTTAGCAAAACGTGGCAAAGCCGCTTGGAAGATCGAGTTTTCTGTGTCACGCATGGGTTTCTGCAACCGGTGCCGAGGCAGAGGCACAGCGACCAAGAGGCAAACCAGCTCCTTTCCCAGCACTGCAAAGAAGGCCATGTCCCCCATGTGTCCTCTGTCAAGAGCAAAAGCATTGGGCAAAGCGGGGCCGTAGCAAGATGCGCAAACAATGCCTTCTCAAGAGCGCTGGCAGCGCCTGGCGCCAACGTGAAGATGGTGAAGATGGCACACACACGCTCTGCAGAGGATCTGTCACTGCTTTACTAAGCCAGTCGATGGCGATGTTGGCCAAAGCTGGAGCCTGCCAACCTGCCCTTCATGGTTGCTGCGAGATGGTGGATGTCGTGGCCGTTTAGGCTGAGGTAGTACTTGCCAAACACTCCTAGGCAGCATGTGTTCTCAAAGACCTCAGACCCTAGCTTTATCAGGGAACCCTACATGTCTCAGGGATACAGGAGGGTGGCTTCACATTCACATTCTGGCTAAGTCTTGCTCGACGACGCCGAGTAAGGCGCTTTCGATCTTGTAACTTGCGGGAACCGCAATGAACTCTCTGGGAGGACCGGCTAGGGATGTCTGAAATTATCGTCTCCCTGCGCAGCGTGAAACAGAAGCTTACAGCTAAATCCTACGTGGCTTTTGCAGGAGGCAGCATCGGACCTGCGGCAAGGACGTGTTTGCCCTTGGCGACGGTTTGTCAAAAGGCCTTGGGCCTCGTCCAAGACACAGAAGATTTGCCGGTCTATGGCCCTGCTATCGGTCTTCGAGTCGCTCGTTCCGGCATGTGCTCACCTTTTTCGTGCAGCCGCCGTCCCTTTGCTTGGGGGCCTCCAAGATGCAAGTGCCAGCTGACACGAGGCCCGGAGGCCCGGGTCACGTGGTCCTTCGGGCCTTGCTGGAGCCGACTCCAGCCGTGCTTTACCTTCTAACTCCTTTCCTGAGTCCCGGGACCTCAGAGGCTTAATGGTTCTGGAGCATTCATGGCCGAAGCTCCTGAGCCTGCCGGAACTTCCTTTCGCTCGATAATGCAGTCCTGCTGTCGAAGAGGTCCTTCCTGCGGCCTTGACGCGCCAAAGGTATTGAACCGTTCTGGTGCGAGCTCGGCTCGCTGTTCCATTTTGCGGCGCACAGGCAGAAGTTGGCCCGGTGGGGCTAGCGGTTTGAACGGTTCTGGTGCGAGCGCGGCGCCCTGTTCGGTTCTGTTAAGCGGCAAGAAACCGGCCGGTGGGGTTCAAGTCTGTGCGGATGCAGCCCTCGTCCACCTGCGAGTTTCATCGCGACTCCCGTAGCTCCCGTCGTCCGCACGACTCAGCATTGAGTCCACACTGAGCCAGAAAGCATCGACAGTACCAGCACGCGATCGTCTGCCGCAGTCTCAGGGACTCCGGGGAGGGCCGTGCATTCAGCTGCCGTCGCAATATGTCAACGAATGGCGATGTGGTATGCATTCTATCGCCCATTTGCTGAAGCTTGGTCGCTCGCTCCAGAGATCAAAAATACGCTCCGGCATCAGGCGCAGGAATGTTGGAAATGTCGGCGGCTAGGGGTTGAGATTCAATATTCGCGCCTTTTCTGCTTGTCTGATATTCAGTTCAGCCATGTGTAAGATTATCGAATTAAAGCAAAACATCTCAAGGAATCAAGCAGCTCAAAACATGAAAGGCGCACATTTTTTGTTATCCTAACCATGTTCTTATTATGTTCTTATTCTGCTTACATTGTCGAGAATAGTAGAAACATATGAGAGATATAGATGCAATATGTGTTTTCCCTCTAGCAGCAGTAGTAGTAGCAATTGTTGGGACGACAGCATATGTAACTCCGACTGAACATCTAATGTGCGCAAAAACACATGTGACATCGGTGACCGGCATGTGACTGATAAATGCATGCAAGTTTTCGACTAGGTTCTGCAAACAATCGGAGCCAAGAGGCCTGCTGTGGATCTAGTTTGATTAGTCATTGCTGACTCCCTTCTTTGTTCCTGGCACATGGTTCTCTCAGAAATCCAGCCCAACCCCAGGTTTTGCTCTTGCTATTAGCCTGTGATCCACTGCATCGGTCGCCTGCTCATCGACCCCGATCGGCTCGAGCAAGCACTCGTCAGGGTTTAGGGTTTGCTTCTGCCTATTGGCGTAGAAGATGCAATCGCCGGCAACGCTGTAGCGTCTATGAGGACACATGCCCAGTTGCTCAGGGATTGGCGGGCAATTGGTCGTTGATGCAGCATCGCAGCGATGCCGGTTTTCAGCAAAATCTGGCCCTCTAAACCAAAACGTCATAGATGAGGTAATGCAAGATGACTCAACCAGCAAAGCCAGAATTTTGTGGCTTCAACAAGCAGCGTTCCTTTGGCAACGACGTTGTTCAGGCTACTGAGGCTTCATAATCATACGGTCCAAGTTCAACAACTTCAAATGTGGGGCTGTAGTTCACTGGCGGGACAAGCAGAAAGGGATATACCGAAACAACGGAGCCGTCGACTGCTAGATTCTGTCTTGTTCAGGGCTAGGGTGGCACTCCGTAGTTTCAGTGTCACAATCCCTAGGTCGGCTACTTCCCAGATCTGTTGTGATCCTGTCCCCCCAAAGAGGAAGTAGTTTCACCACCAAGCCACACCACGCAAGTGACCTTCAACCACTTTCTCTTCATGTTTTGGGTGGCACTTTTTGTTGGGGGGAGCGGGTTGGGATTGGGATCAGAGGCTCATCTCTTTGGGCGACGGTGGGAGCCACAGTCCCTAAAACCCTCAAGACTTAGTAGCTAAGCCCTCAGTTCTCCCACTTTTTTTGTTGAGGGGCGGGGTGGTATGCAGGCGGGTCTCTCCAAGTCAGGCATTTGCTAGCCCTCCAGTATTCTGCCTTCACCCGCGACCTTCATTCCCTCAGGCACGGCCCTGCCCGGCATCCCCAAGCTTGCGCCCTGCTTCGAGTGCCGGGTTTTGTTTACGAGAGCAGCCCGCAATCCCCTGAACTATTGCCTGTACCGGTATAGGGTGCCGTCAAAGCTGAATCTTGCCGGGCGCCGAGTATGCTACTGCTATTTTGATAGCCCATGCCTGAACATCGGCATGGCCTACCTGCAATGTCGACCTGAAAATCCAGGACGTTTGCTCCGTGACGTGATGGTGAATATGCTGCTGCAAAGGCGGAACTGAAGCTTGAAAGTTGGCACACTATGGGGAGTGCTTGTCTGGCTCCACCTTTGGTGGAGCTGATGTGGAACAGAGTGTTTTCGGCGCTGTATACTGCATGGTGTTTCTGCTCCTTTCTGGTCCTGCTTGATACTCCTTCTGTGAAGGGCTGGACGCCAGTTTTCCTAGGCGACGGACCAATCAGGGACTACTTGGGTTTGGGGTGTAGGAGTGAAGGAGTGTTTGAGAATAACCCGTGTAAAGCTACTGGGCCAGTTTCCTTGGTCTTGGGCAGACAAAGGACAACCACAGCCCTGGTCTTTCTGGACCAAGAAGAGAACGCCAAGGCACCTCCTCCTTGAGCCCTAGGCCCCTTATGGTCCCGTCAATCCGCAGTGTCTTCAACGCAAGGCCCCAAAACCCGGGACTCCGCAACTGTCAAAGAGAACTTAAGTACAAGAAGGCCGTGTATGACGCCTAACCCGGGCCTTGCTATGGGTGTAACAGGCTGTAACCTGATGTTTGGAATGGCCAGGCTTGGCTGCAGCAACTTGCAGATGAATTGCGAGCCTGCTCATTGAGCCAGGACAGGGGTTCTGGGGCTCAGGTTTTCAAGGGTTTTTAGGGTTTGGGGTTGGAGGGATTTTTGGGCTTCTTCTGGGTTATAAGGCTTGTAGACCCTGAACCCTACACTCAAGGCTTGTTGGGTTTGAGGATTTTTGGGTTGTTGGGGTGTGCTGCCGGGCGGGCTGACCCTTGGGGTTATAGCTTTTGAGATTTCGGTGTACTTGGGGTTTCAGAGCTTAAGTCCATCGCGAGCGCAGGGACCGAAGGGGATCGAAGATGGATTGAGGGAGTGAATACAGGTGCCGTTGCCAGGGGATTTCACTCACCTCCCCTTCGGCACCAGTAAGTTTCCAGGTTCCTGAAGGTTTGACTGGAGATTGGAGCTGCAACGAGCCGGATGTGTTGCAGCCTGCTTTGCCGCGCTGCGGCGTCCCAAAACCGAATCCCCCAAGCCCGATCACGTGCCAGATCGAGGCTTCCCCCCAAAGAACTTTCCGCACTTTTGAATCCTTCCCTAAGCCTCAACATCCCGAATTGCTGAAAAGAGAGAGAGAGAGAGAGAGAGACAGAGAGAGAGAGACAGAGAGAGAGATAGATAGAGAGAGAGAGAGAATACAGCATAGCCCCCCTAAACCCCAAACCCTAAAGCCTGAACCCCAAAGCCCGAAAGCCGAAACCAACCACAAAGCCCTGTCAGAAAACTCAAAGCCCCCCTCCCTCGCTCCGAAGAGGTCGGACGCGCCGGCATCGCAGGCCAAGGAGTGCCAGGTTCGTGGTGGGTTTTCGTGTGTCTGTGCTGCAGGGCCCTCTTTTTGCGTTGTGAAATGTGGCTGTTGGGGAGAGCTGTGGGTCGGGCCCATGATGCTTGTTGGTCAGCTCCGCTTGTGCGGCAGGGTTTTTCTAAGGGGGCTCGACGTTGCAGGTCTACAGGTTTAGGGCTTCGGGTATTGAGATTTCGGATTGTTTAGGAAGCTCAGGGCTTCAGGAGTTCAAGGGCTACGGCTCGAGGGCTTCTTGAAAACCCCTCAACGCGAAGTTGATGTCGTTGGTGAGGTTAAGGCCTCTGGCCTAAGCCCTGTAGACCTGCGACATGACTTGTTAGTCTCCAGGACTTATACTTACTATAGCGCACGCTTGCTGATTGGCAGGGAAGGCTTCGGATGCTGAACTCGCAATCGCAAAGGCTCCTCACATGCCTGGCAAAAGCCCTGAGCCAAAGCGACGAAAAAACTCAAACTCCTCGACACGGACACGTCTCCCCAATTTTATTTGTCCCTGGCCTTTGGCCAGGGCCACCAGGTCCTTACTGAAGCCCCGGGCAGACCCCTGCGTTCTGCAGTTCTTGCAACTGAAAGCAGCCAACGATTTCCGTAAACCGCTGAAGCCTGAATAGTCTAGCTTCGAAGCTGAACTTGAAACATCACCACGCTCCAGGAGCTGGCACTTCTACAGTAATGCCTCTGCGGAGTATTTCTGCCCCGCGCTGGCCCCAAAAGGCAAAGAGTGCCGTGCTTGCGGGAGCTTGCGGTGCCTCGCTCAGACTTGCCAAGCCTTGGGGATCCAAGGC